ACTGTATATACAAACAGTTATGAATGCTTGGCTGTGACTGAAATAAAGGAATAATACTATCTAGTTGTTCATTTCTCTCTCTCTCTCTCTCTCTCTCTCTCTCTCTCTCTCTCTCTCTCTCTCTCTCACACACTCTCTCCTTCTCCAGGTGCTCAGTATGTGACGCTCCAGGTAACGTGATAGCGTTTCACAGCCAGAACAATACAGTCCCGCCATGCCCCGTCGGATGGCTGTCTCTGTGGCAAGGCTACTCATATGTCATGGTAACAAACACAAATCATTACTGAAAGAAGTCTACCTTATTTCATAAAGAGATATTTGAGTAGTTTTGTAGAATTTTCTTCTGAATAATCATGCAAGAAATCAGAAAACCCCTTTAAATTTGCCACTCGACCTTATAATTCACGAGTTTGAACAGTTTCCAATGTATTTATTTGATTGATTTTAGAGCAAAGCGTTAGACAGCACTCTGTACCATCATAAACAAAACACCAACTGAGGGAATATACAGTATTGCGCAAAAACAGTTTTAATCGCTCAAGTATAATTCCATACTTGAGGCTTGTAGAATCTATACCGAGGCACTGTATTATGCCACTTTAGGGTGACATTTCCTTTAATTTGTCACCTGTCTGTCTGTGTGTGTGTATATATAGATACACACACACACAGACACACATATATATATATATATATGAGAGAGAAAGATAGATAGATAGATAGATAGATAGATAGATAGATAGATAGATAGATAGATAGATAGATAGATAGATAGATAGATAGATAGATAGATAGAATATTTGTCACAGTTTCCACATGTAAATTTAATTCTGAATTGAAATGTACGTTTTTAATAGGTCGTTTTAATGATTAAATTTGTTCAATTAAATTACACTGAAGCTTGTTGAGAAGATACAAAGCTATCAGAACTTAAAGTTATAGCTTTGTCTCAGACTGTTACAAAGCATCGACACTGGAGACTCCATCTAGAAAAACTCATGCCATGGTCTCTTTGTAGAACATTTCACTAAAATCGGTGATTACAAACCTCTGGTTTGCAGTTGCACAGGAGTCAGAGCTGCTGTCATAGAAAATTAATCAACCTTCTGACCAATCAGGATCGAGCGTTCAACAGCGGTGTGGTGATATAAGCGTGTGTGTATTCAGTATGTTGCTCGTTTACTTGTGTCTCAATAGCAATCAGGTGTGGGTTCCGAAGGCTCAGGTCAGCCCCTGTCCTCTCCTGGATCCTGTCTGGAGAATTTCCAGAAGATTCCCTTTATCGAGTGTCTTGGCCGTGGTACTTGTAACTACTACTCAGATGCCTACAGCTACTGGCTGGCCGCACTGGATCCTAGCCAGATGTTCAGGTATTTCTCCCAGATGTGTACTTTGAGACTAGGTTATATTTGTGAAGGTGGAGATTAAAAAGAAGAGACGTCTACCTGAAACAGAAATGGAAATTACTTTTTAAGAAGGTTTAATAAAAAAAATTTAAATGTTGATCTTAGTGACATTATATACTGTATAAGTTAGCATTTTCTCAGACACATACCTGATGTATGTTTGTGTTTTTGTTTCACAGTAAACCATCTCCGCGGATAGTAAAAGAAGACCACCTGAGCATCATCAGTCGCTGTCAGGTGTGCATGAAGGAGCCATCTTGTACTCGGTCGTCCTGAGCTTCAGAGAACTTTTATTCGGCCGACGTTGACACGGAATTTTTTGTCCGTGAACTTCGACTTTTCCCACTCTGAATCCTTTTCAGAGGTCTTCAAGATGGTTCTTGAAGGATGGAAAACAAATGTAGTAACTAATGGACTAATTTAAAGAATGTTTACTGAACTTTTGAACTAATAAACCATATGTGCTTTGCTTTTTAACCCATATGTTCTGATGTAAACGTGGCACGTGGGGACGTTGTTCTCTAGAACTAAGTGCAACAGTAATGACTACGGACAACACCCAGGGGACCATCCGATGAAAGGACACGAATTCGTAGACACAACGAAAAGACAGAGACGCATGTTCCCAATAAACCCAAATGCGTTTTTAATTTTTTAATCGAGCAACCGAAACTTGCTCAGCAAGACTAGCCCTGTGTTTATAGTAGGGGTGCATTGTATACAGGTACTACAGTAGCATCTCAATACCAAAGCATCAAAATACCGCCGATGTCACTGTATTTTTTTAAACAGTAGTATCGTTAATACGGTAGCACCGTAAGTAATGTTGTACGTGCGACAGTTTCGCTAAAACGACACATCTCACAGCTTGTGCAGAATACACACAGGTTACTGACTCTTCATTTAGCCTAAATTCTTTACCTTTATCTTTAAAGATTTCCTGTTTGCTACCAAGCAATCTAACGTCATGCTAACTGCTGTGTCTAAATAATTCAATTCGTCATGTTACCTACCAAGTGAGCTAACGTTATGCTAACCACTGTGTCTAAATAAAAAATTTGTCGTGTTTGCTACCAAGCAAGCTAACGTTATGCTAACCGCTGTGTGTAAATAATTAAATTAGTCGTGTTTGCTAGAAAGCGAGCTAACGTTCCCAATTTTATGATTTATTTTTTAGAGGTCATTTCCGAATTTAAACTCTGAGGACAATTTCCATTTGCATGATTTCATTGCTTGAGGGAACAATGGATGAAATACGTGGCATATCGAATTAGTTGCTTGCCAAATGTATGATTGTTCTTGAGTTTTTCCCAATAGACAGTTATTTATTCTTTTTTTTATAACAAATTCAGAGGAAAATCTGGTTTGTCTGTTTTCATTTATATCAATGTATTTCTGTAAATGTGGTTCATTTTGTAGACTTGAATTTATGAATTACCACAATATTGTGTGGTATCGTGATATTTCATCTGGTATAGTATCATAAGATATGTTCATGGCCTTTTCTAGTGACAGTAAAATAAAGTTTACAAAGTTTACGTTCTCGTTTCAGGCTCCACTTGCATGTTAAATATGTTTTGTATTAAGAACTGTATTTTTGATAGAATAGTATTGTAGTGCTCAGTATTACATTGCAAAATAAATCTTGTACGCTACTGAGGATCACGTGTTAATGATAAATATTACTATGCAAGTCATTCGGGGTGGATTTAACCTGTAAGATAAGATACGACGTGAGCTTACGTTTTTGTTTACTTGGCAAAAAAAGAATAAAGTGATAAAGATATTTGTAGTTGGTTTACATGTGTATTTTAGCAGAGCGTCTTTTTAAACCAATAAATCAGCACATTTAACCCTGAATTAATTTCTTTAATATTTAATCCAAAAATTAGGTTTGCCACTTATTGTAGTTTATGGCCGTTAACACGGTCCTTTAGCTTCTGAACATTTACTGCTCTAACTGCAAGCTCCTAATAACTATACAGTAGTTACTGAGTTTATAAAGATGGATAATATCAAAATTTATGCATTTTTACATGCTTTTACAAAGCCTTAAACATTGTAAAGTATATGATTGTACAGATTTCAGGATTTATGGTTTGTATTTAATTTATGACGTTTATTGTATTTAATTTATGAAGTTTTGTATATCAAATGTTATAGCTTTGGAAATGGGCTTATGTTATAAACCATATTACTGTCCAAACTTACATTTTACACTCTTACTTTATTTTTTTAAGCATCTTCAGCACACTATGAGGTGTTTTGTAGCACTGAAATTCTTATTTACTTTTTATCCATGTAACCACAAGGTGACAGTACAGAGCTACTTGAACAACAGACTATCAAAGGCATGCGGAAATAAAAACTAAATACTTTTATTAAGCCGTGGTCCTGAATGAATTGAATTTTTAATGCTATGTGTAGCAGGTGGATTACATGATGTCTGTTTCCTAAAAATATAACAGCAAAGAATTTAACGGCTTTGCTTTCATGATTATCGGATGGAAATTTGGGCATTTAACTTATGGAAATATAAAACTTACAGTAAATTAGGGCTGCATTATTCTGACTTAAATCCTAATATCTGAGTTTCTCAAATAAGATTCTTTGACACACTAATGTTGTTCAGAAGAATGTGTGTTTACATTGCAACAGTGTCCTTCATTGTAAAACAAGCCTTATTATGCGTGCTATTGTAAACATCGAAATAAATGCACAATTCTTTTTTAATAACATCTAAGTTAAATGATATTTAAACAATATTTCAAAAAAAATTCACAGCTATTTTGGAGTGGGTTCTTACCAGGAATAGTGGCACTCTGTCCTATGAAACAAGAAAGACAAAGAAGCCATGCATTGGCAGAATTAGCAAAAATTGACAAAAAAATGCACAAAAATATATTTTTATTATTGTAGTTTATGAAATAAAAGTTAAATATCAAATAAATGAAACAACTGCAACCTGCGAAAATTCAACCTAAATTGGAACTCAACATACTATATTACAAAAAATAAAATATAAAGAAATATATCTTCCCTATCTATCTATCTATCTATCTATCTATCTATCTATCTATCTATCTATCTATCTATCTATCTATCTATCTATCTATCTAAAATAAATCATTTTAATTCCCTATGTGCAGATTATTATTATTATTATTATTATTATTATTATTATTATTATTATTATTATTATTATTATTATTATTATGATGATGATGATGATGATGATGATGATGATGTAGCATATACACTGACAGGCTGCACACAGGTAGGTAGTATTTCTTGTTTCTTTTTTAAATGTGCACTATGCCAATGAAAAAAAAAGTCAAAGTCAAATCTCTGGTGTAAGAGCTACTTAATAATTAGTAAAGGAGTTTCCAAACTAGTGGGCGTGACCGTGACGTCGCTTGATTTCATCATGAGAAACTCTTTATTTCAATTAATTTTGTAAATATCAGTCTATAAATACGGGTTCTGTGCACTCAGATTGAAACAAGCAGGAAATGAAATGTACGCCCTTTCAGAAACACCTCCTGCCTGTTTGTAAAGCTGTGTCAAGAAATAAATAATAATAATATTATTAGTGGTTAGTTTAGTGGTTAGCACGTTCGCCTAACACCTCAAGGGTCGGGGGTTCGATTCCTGCCGTGGCCCTGTGTGTGAGGAGTTTGCATGTTCTCCCCGTACTGTGTGGGTTTCCTCCGGGTACTCTGGTTTCCTCCCCCAGTCCAAAGACATGCATGGTAGGTTTCCTCCCCCAGTCCAAAGACATGCATGATAGGCTGATTGGCGTGTCTTAAATTGTCTTAAATTGAATGGGTGTGTGAGCGTGTATGTGATTGTGTCCTGCGATGGATGGACTGGCACTCTGTCCAGGGTGTACCCCGCCTTGTGCCCAATGCTCCCATAGGATCCAGGTTCCCTGTGACCCTGAAAAGGAGTAAGCTTGGATGTAAGGATGGATGGATAAAAAAAGAGATATACTGTGTATAAGTATTATTCCTCATATCCTTAGTGGATCCTCTATGGTTCTGTTTTCCTGGTTTCTTACAAGATTGTACTGAAGGATTTGTTTATTTCAGAATGTCTATTCATTCACTGTTCATTTTGTCTCTACACACATCATTATTTCTCTTTGGCTGGAGCCCAGAATGTGTTCTTACTCTGTATAAAATGCAAAACATTCTCATAGCACCAGGAATATTGTACATCTAGTTTTAGCACATTAAGACAAATCAGAGGTCAGAGGTACCATTTTTCCAAATTCCTGTTCCTCACTGCACTCCCATCTTCAGGCTCGGTGACAATCTACATGCCATCTGTTTGAAATAAGCTTCAATCAATGAAAAATTTGACTGATGATATATAAATAAGACTCGATAGAGGCAGAATACTGGAACATTCCAGTCAGCCAAGCAGCAAGAGTTACACATCCTTTTGTTAAATTATTATTCAACATACAGGGAAAAAAATACCAAGAGGCTTTCAGTAAGAATCTATTATGGCTGAGTTTGTGAGGCTTTTATCGTTAATTAGACCACTGTGTGTATGCTGGCGAGACAAAGGCAGACCCGGCAACATTTCTCGGTTGTATTTGCGGTAGATTAGCCGAGAGGACCCGAGTCCATTCACGCAAATTGTTTTATTGTCCTCGTTGTTGTAAAGTCAATACTCTTTCACTCACGTAATCTTAACAAAAGCGTGCATCATTGCCACGAACAAAGAAGATCGGCGACGTTTTACGACATCGCATTCCGGCTTCGCCCGGCAACCAGGCAGCTGCCAGTCATCCGACGAGTTTAAAAAGAGTGACGCGGAGTCCCAAGCTACCAGAACCCAACCTTCAGAGCTATTTACCGTACAATCCGAAACGCTCCAGAAGCCTAACTAAAACAACAACCAAGACGAAAATGAGGACGTGTGTTTCAGTGTTGCCTGACCTTGCTGGGTTTGTCTCTGGTGCTGTGCAGTAAGGGCGTCTCTTCTCAGCCGGACCTGGATCTGCGACACCGCGGACTTCTGCAAAGAGTTCAGGCCCTTGGCGTGGCTGCACAGGTTAGGCTGCATGAACACTGGCACACGCACAAAAAACACCATTACATGCAAATACACAATTCTTGTTGTGATAGGATGCCGAGGCCTAGCCTTACCTTTAATACTAATCACATATTACATGCGTATATCGTGGCTAAAATAATAGAGTGTGATCAGAAGTAACTTTTTTATACTCTGGCATTTATATAGCACTTTGAACAATAGACATTGTCGCAAAATAACTTCTGAGATAATTTAGACCCGGATCGAGGAATGCAGAGGTGACAGCGGCAAGGAGAAACTCCTAGAGAAGAAATGAGGAAGAAACTTTAAGAGGAACGGAAATCAAAAGTGAATGTTCTGGGTGATGCAACATAGTTTGATTATAAAAGGATGAACAGTACCAGATGATGACAATGAGAGTCCTGGGATGAGCACAAGAAAAGTCTTTCTGATTACAGCAGCAGTTCTTAGGATAGTATCTGAGGGAGTTTTCACTGAAACACGGGTCAGACTTAGGAACACGGGTTTTTTGGGGAAAGTGCATACGGTATATCTTTAGCGACGAGTCACAAGTACAGAAGTTCCAAGCAGACAAATCAGGCAGATTCCGAGCACGTAGACTGGGAGAACTGATTGTCCTATAGTGGTTTAAAATGGTGTAGACTATGATCAGAATGCAAGCAGGAACTCTAGGATGTCTGCCGTATCTTATAGCAAAATCATTTCTGAAGCCCAATCGTTTCCTAACCCAAATATTTCCCTTGATTTTACGTTCTCATGAGAACTCTGGCTTTACGAGATAAATTAAGGTGCCAATCATTTCCTTCCTGAGTTTTAGATTAGCAGGAATACCCATGGGAATGAAAACTGCAATGAAATACATTTGCTGTCAATCATTTCAGCCTGGGAAAGGTCTGATTGTGACAAGCACAGCTGAGACGTCAGTCATCTTCAACTTACCTTCTCAGTCTATTTAGGCATGTGTTTCTGAAATACTCATTTTCAAAAGAAGGGAGAAAAAAATCCTGTCTTTCCAGGATACTCACTCTTTCCCCAAATCTCTAACCAACCTCTATCCTCAAACTCTCCGCCTTCTTTATCCTGTCTTGCCTTTCAGGAGTGGACTAAGAATGATCTGAAGGACATTCTAGCAAGGCTCACCATGCCTGAGTCAGAGTTTCAGGAGAATGATGTTTCTACTCTGGGGACGAAACAAGATCTCACAGTGGAATTAGAGCGATCAGCAGAAGATCCCAACAGCCTTCCACCTCGAGAGCGAAAAGCAGGCTGCAAGAATTTCTACTGGAAAGGATTCACTTCCTGCTGAAGTGCTGCCTCTCTTGTCACATGACCCAACACTGGCCACTCCAGGGTCTCTGCTGCTGAATGCTCCCCGCCTTCACCTGTGACTCACCAGAGTGAGGTCGAATCAGTAGCTGATTTCTATCAATTAATCATATCAATCAGATTCAGTTGTAACTTTGTAATTTATAAATAATAATAATAATAATAAAGCTTTATTTGATTTAAATTGTGTGTATGTGTGTAAATGTGAAACGTGACAAAATATTTAGCAAGCTCAGTCAGCACAGAGAGCAAAGACACAGAGATGACACAGAGATGCCAACACTTATGATTTTTTAACCCATTGCTAAGGCAGCGTGTTAGTTTTTTAGCCAACTGACCTGAAGGGAACTTCATGCCAAGCCTTGCTTTCGTGAAAATAGAAATCATGCGGATGGGACTGTGGTCTCTTTGAAAAAAAGAGTAAAGAAATAAAAAATAGAGGCACTTATTAAGTAGCTCCACTTTGGACATTGGCATCACTTCGATTTCTTACTGTTTCTTGATGGACATTTGCAAGGAAAAAAAAAAAAGCTATCTCATCCAGCAACATAGGCAAGGGTTTCTGGATAATGGTGCCGCTACAGTTTAGTGGACACTTTGCTTTAAAACACTTATTCTAATATAAGATGGATTTCTGAGGTATGACTCACGTGAAATATGGGTAGACCTGTGACATAGCATGAACCACATTTTTTTTTCCCCCAGACGTATTGCCTGGATTCATGTGTCTCTGGGAAACTCGCCATCACCCTCCCTGCTTGTTAGCAGTCATGTAGCAAGTCGTGGAGAGCTAGCAAGTGAGTGGGAATTGCCAATTTACCAAACTGGGAGAAAACACCAACAACAACAACAACAACAAAACGGGATTCCAGCACATGCGGTGCTTGGACCCCTAAAAAAGTACGAAAACAATATGGGGATAAAATCCGCAAAAAACTAAACTAAACATTTGATATTCTGTGAGCATATACATATTCTGTGCACTAATTTGGGGATAAAATGGAAGTGTGTCCTGGTCTTTACCTCATTAAATGTCAGTCTTTTCACACTTAACTATTTAATTTCAAGCTGTGCTTTAAGAGCACCAGGATCATAACAATATATAAGTACAAGTGGGTGTGTTTGTGTGTACGTGTGGTGATTACAGCCACTTTCATTATATGATTAATGAAAATTGTTGGACATGAGAGACTTATCCCATCCCATGCCTTAAAAAAAGTAAGGACTCACAAGATGGAAAAATCAAGAGTCAGAGTCAGAGACGGAGGACAGTTACCATTAATAGTCATCCATAGCAACGTCTCGTCGTGGTAATGGGCCCTGAGAACTGAGCACGGGCGAGGTGTGTGGACACACACATCAGTCTGATGTATTTTTCATTACTGGGTTATTAGTTGTGAAAGCTGTGCCGGGCTTCAGTGCGCCGTCTCCAGAGGCTCACGCGGAGACGTGGAAAAGCCTGTTAGTCAGCAGTAATTGTTATTTAATTATGCTCCTGAAAGCAGCGCAAATATTTAAGCTCATCTGGACTGTTTGATTAACAAGCTTGAGGAGAGACTTGTCAGGCATTAAAAATCACTTTCCACTGGGTTGTTTACAAAGCCGAGGTTTTTATCTTTTTATATGTGTTTGTGTGTGTATATGTGTGTGTGTGTGTGTGTGTGTGTGTGTGTGTGTGTGTGTGTGTGTGTGTGTGTGTGTGTGTGTGTGTGTGTGTGTGTAGGTTAAAGAATCCAGCAGTGTCTTAACAGATCTGAACTAGTGCATCAAAACATCTAGACCAAGTCCAGTCACAACCATTTTTTTTCTTTAAAAGTCAGACTAACATGACGGAATCGATATATCAGTTAACTTTTTATTTAACACCTAACTATTAGTGATTGTTTGTTTGTCTAAATAATTTGTTTTAGGTGCTATGTTGTTGTGTCCCATAGTTACCAGTATTGACTCATTGACATTGGACTGATGAGACACTTTGGATTTGGATGTTACCATGGAAGAACCATCACATTCTTCTCTGTTGACAAGTCATATCGTTATACTTAAAGCACACACGCTTTACACTGTGTCTTATTCACCCATTCACACACACTTACACACAAATGGTAGCAGATGCAAGGCACTAACTTGCAATCAGGAGCAACTTGGGGTTCAGTGTCTTGTCCAAGCATGTGGAGTCATCTGGGATGGGAATCGAACCGCCAACCCTACGATTAGTGGACAACCCGCTCTACCACATGTGCCACAGCCAAACTACTTCATAATTATTA